GCCCCCTCCCAATGTAGGAGAAGCACTCTGTCTGTATGCATAAGCAATAGGTTTTGAGGAAATTCTAGTGGAAAGTGCTTTGGAAAAGCCACCTCTGGGTTAGAGAAGCTTGCAGTTAACACATTAACCCAGAGACATTAAATCCTATTTTTTGTCTATCATTGCCTCAAAGGTAGCACTCAACACAGTCCAATTCACTGTCCATGTCATAATATCCATATCTGTGCATGGTTTAAGAAAAAGGAGAAGAAACATATCTGAAATGTCACAACTTCCCTTTTGACAGATTGCTTACCAACTCTTTGTTTCTAATGTGCTTTCAATAGTTTCTTATTTAATATCATTTATGAATCATCTAAACGGTTTATATCTGTTATATTCACAAGTTATACATCTAAATAGTTCAAACAGTTGGCATCAGCTGTTTACACAATTTATATCTGATATTGACATAGTTTATCTGAACTGTTCTATTTAAGTCTACTATTTGCAGTCCATATTTGTGCTATTCACAGTTTCTTTCATTCAGTTAGATTAGGCTGTACCTTTTGTTGGGTTTATAGTACAGTGGTTTAGTCTTAAGCTTGATACAAGTTCGAGGACCATGAAACACTGAGACATCCAAGTATTATTTTTCATTCATCAAATAGTGATACTAGCCATGCAGCACTCTTGAGTTTGGTACAGAAAAAACTTGCCTGCAATGCTCTCATCAGGTGTTGTAACTGTCTTGACTAATCATACTAGTTTAAGCAAGATTAGGTAAAGGTCCCAAATGAGGCTTTAAGATCTTCATGAGCATAATAATGCGTCTGGGCTGTTCTTACATTAGCTCTCATAACTATCTGTCTAGTAAATGTGCTTGCTGTCAGTTGGGATTTAAAATCACTTGATTCCTGAAGAAAAGATGCTGGCTTTCCTGTTTTCTAGGCTGATATCTTTTATGTGGACAAACAAAGTTTGGTGTGGTTGGGAGTGCATATAGTGTTGTACCAAGGCAAACTGTAGTAGAATAGCAATATGGCTTCTTTCATTCCTCACAGGATCGTCAGCGGCCCTGTGACTCATATGCCTGGTTATGTATCTACAGTGAATTAAAAGCAGAAATAGGCCACTCAACCCCTTAAACCTGCTGCAGCATTCAACAAGAACATGACTGATCTGATTACTCCACATTTCAGTCTACGCCCGACAACCTTTCATGCCCTTGCTTTTAAGAATCTGTCTATCTCTTTTGGCATCTCCAATAGCAATATTAAAAAGCATGCAATCTCTGCCAGCACAGATATCAGAGCTAAATCTTTGTTACTGTATAAATGCCTACACTTTGTCAGCTTGATTCATAATATTTGACGGTACCATGGGAAACAACACAAGATATCTGTCCTTAGTGCCAGAGGTTTGGATGGGGAGCAAGTTGTTAGGTGTGTCCAGAAGGGTTTTTTGAAACAGTATGTGGATAGTCAAATGAGGGAGAGGCCATATTGGACCTGGAATTGGGAAATGAGCCCAGCCAGGTGATCAAAGTTTCAGTGAGGGAACATTTTGGGAATAGTGACTATAGTTCTGTAAATTTTGGATACTTATAGATAAGGATAAGAGTGGACTTCGGATGAAGGTGTTAAATTAGGGGAATGCTAACTATAACCGAATTAGGCAATAATTGGAGAATGTGGATTGGGAGCAGTTATATGAGGTGAATCCACATCTGACATGTGGGAGTCTTTTAAAGACCAGTTGATTAGAGAGCAGGACAGGCATGTTCCTTTGAAAATGAAGGACAGGAATGGCAGGATTCGGGAACCTTGGATGACAGGGGAAATTACCAGCTTGGTCAAAAAAAAGGAAGCATACCTAAGCTTTCGGCAACTGAAAACAAAGAAAGTAGGAAGGAGCTCAAATGGGGAGTTAGGAGCGATAAATCGGGCCGTGAAGTCTCCTTGGCCAGCAGATTTAAGGAGAATCCCAAGGCATTTTATATTTATATTAGGAGCAAGAAGGTAGCTAGGGAAAGAGTAGGCCTACTAAAAGATAAAGGAGGGAGGTTAAATGTGGAGCCAGAAGAAATGGGTGAGATCCTTAATAAGTACTTTACATCAGTATTCACTAAAGAGAGGGACATGAGGTATGTTGAGATTAGGGAAAGGTGTATGAATATTCTTGGGAAGGTCAACATAATGAAGGAAGAAGTATTGGGTGTCTTGAAATGCATTGAGGTAGACAAGTCCCCAGGGCCAGATGGAATCTATTTCAGGATATTGTGGGAGGCAAGAGAAGAAATAATTGGAGCCTTAACAAATATCTTTGCATCCTCTTTCGCCTTAGGCAAGGTTCCAGAGGACTAGAAAATGGCTAATGTTGTCCTTTGTTTAAAAAGGGAAACAGAGACAATCCACGTAATTACAGGCTGGTGAGTTTGATGTCAGTGGTGGGGAAGCTGTTCGAGAAGATACTGAGAGACAAGTTTTATTCACATTTGAAATGATTGGACTTGTGAGTGACAGGCAGCATGGGTTTGTGCAGGGAAATGTCATGTCTCACCAACTTGATTGAGATTTTTTAGGAGGTGACAAGAATGACTGATAAGGGAAGAGCAATGGATGTTGTCAACATGGGCTTAAATAAGGCATTTGATAAAGTATCTCATGGCAGGTTGGTATAAAGGGTAGAGCCTCATGGGATCCGGGATGTACTGGCTAGATCAATACAGAACTGGCTTGGTCATAAAAGATGGAGAGCAATGGTGAAAGGGTGCTTTTCAGAATGGAGATCAATAACTAGTGGTATTCCACAGGGATAGTGCTGGGACCTTTGTTGTTTGTAATATATGTAAATGGTCTGGAGGAAAATGACAGTGGTCTGATTAGTAAGTTTGCGATGACACCAAAATTGGTGGAGTTGCAAAGAGTGAGGAAGATTGTCAAAGGATACAACAGGATATAGATTGCAGATTTGGGCAGAGAAATGGCAGATGGAGTTTAATGCAGACAAATGCGAGGTGATGAATTATGATGAACAGATTCAGGTGTGAATTATACAATAAATGGCAGAATGCTTGGGAGCATTGACATATAGAGAAATCTGGGTGTACAGGTCCACACATCCCTTAAAGTGGCAACACAGGTGGATAAAAACCGAAAGAACTGCGGATGCTGTAAATCAGGAACAAGAAAAGAAGTTGTTGGAAAAGCTCAGCAGGTCTGGCAACATCTGGAAAGAAAAAAATCAGAGTTAACGTTTCGGATCCAGTGACCCTTCCTCAGAACCCATTCTGAGGAAGCGTTCTGAGGAAAGATCACCAGACCTGAAACGTTAACTCTGATTTTTTCTTCACGGATACTGCCAGACCTGCTGACCCTTTCCAGCAACTTCTGTTTTTGTCCCTGATTTACAGCATCCACAGTTCTTTTGGTTTTTATTAGTATTTAACTCACTGCCACGTCTCTTCTAGGCATGCCCTCTTTGAAGAAGTTCTGCTCCTCTCTCCGACAGGATTCACATTCCAATCTTTCTTCTTGTCCATTGACAGTAATTTCACTGTCACGCCTGGTGTTGACTGAGTATTTGCTAAAACTCATTTCCACAGCCATATCACATTCCTCAGTGACTGCCTCCAGCTCACTCACCTCACATGGATTCCAACTGAAATTTCATCCCACATATTTTGAATCCTCCCAGGATCACAGATATCTCTGTGATGTTCAATGTTCCACGGATAACTGCTCTCACCACATCCTGAGATCCACACTTAGTGCCATGCAGCGTCACATGCACACTCTCGACCTTTCTCTCCAACAGCATCGCAATACACTGGCTCAGGGCTGCACCGCTCCATAGTTCCACTTCATCCTCCATCCTCATTCGTCGTGCTAACAAGAAGCTTTTTCTTTTCCTTTCAGGCATCAAGGCCCACAAGATGCAACAACTCAAAGCTACCATGGCCCCCTGGAACCTTCCTCTGACTCCATCTCCTTTACCAACCCCTACCTCCTGTCGGGTGTTCACCATCCCTCCTAAAAACAGTTCTGAGGAAGGGTCACCGGACCCAAAACATTAATTCTGATTTTTTCTTCACAGATGCTGCCAGAACTGCTGAGCTTTTCCAGCAACTTCTGTTTTTGAACACAGGTGGATAAGTTGGTGAAGAAGAGATACAGCGTGTTTGCCTTCATTGGCCGGGGCATCGAATATAAAAGTTGACAGGTTATATTACAGCTCTCTAAAACTTTAGTTGGGCCACATTTGGAATATTGCGTGCAATTCTGGTCGCCACACTACCAGAAGGACGTGAATGCTCTGGAGAGGGTGCAGTGAAGGCTTACTAGGATGTTGCCTGGTTTTAGTTATGAGGAGAGGTTTGATAAAATCAGATTGTTTTCATTGGAAAGATGGAGGCTGAGGGACGACCTAATAGAAGTCTACAAAATTATGTGAGTCATAGAGTGGATAGTCAGAGGCGTTTTCCCAGGGTGGAAAGGTCAACTACAAGAAGGCACAGGTTCAAGGTGAGAGGGGGAGAAATTTGGGAAAAATTTTTTACACGGAGGGCGGTGGGTGCCCTAGAATGCACTGCCAGTGGAGGTGGTGGAAGCAGGTAGGCTAGCAACGTTTAAGGCGTATCTTGATAGACACATGAACAGGAAGTGAACAGAGGGATAGAAACCACGTATGGGCAATGAGTAGCAGGTCTAAATAAGGATTAGGAATTGGCGGAGGATCGGTGGGCCGAAGGGCGTGTTGGTGTGCCGTATTGTAGTGTATAGTATTTGTGATTCTGAACTTCAGTTAACCATTTCAACCTCTTCTTAGAGCAGATATGGATAATTAACATGGTTGTGAGCAAAATCTAAATCAAAAATCATTATGTAATTACAAAAACATGATTTTAGTTGGGCTCTGCAGCTTAAATGATTTTAGTGACAAATGAATTAGCAGATTACTTACAATGCATGATTTGAATATGTGCAGCAATAATATGACTTTAATTGTTTTATTGACAGGTTACATTGTTATTCCCATTGTTCCCGGTGAATGATGAGCAGCAAGAGTCTCTGCAGGTCACTCAAAATATAAATGATTATAACAGAAGATTTTCTGGTCAGCCCAGATCTGTAAGTATACTAAAATTTTATGACTCTTAGCAATTAAGAAAAAAATTAATATTAAGAAGTACTTTTTGATTAAAAGATTTTATGTTTCAGTAGTTCCAAAAGCCACTGGTTTCCACATTTTATGCAAAATAGTTAAATGTAAATTGTTGTGCACCTCCCCGTGAAGTTTCAGCTGGTAATTTTCAAGGAGTAACCATCTTCTCAAACATGCATTCAATTACTTAACTGTTCTGTGACCAAACTGTCCTTAAGATCAATTTAATTTTCTTGCTTCCCAATTGGGTGCATCACAGTTTATTATGTCCTACATCTCTTCAAGAAATGTACAAGTCCTTCTTATTAAATGTCATCCCTGATCGACTGTAGTGACCCTTTGTTTTTGGACCTCATTTTATTACCTACACTGTAGGGTTGAATAATTTTCATAAAAGAATGTGAAATCTCTATTCTGGACTGCTTTTGTGAGAATGGTTAGACAGACTCCCAGAGCAGAGCCTGGAACAAGTGGCTAAACCGGAGCCCGGTAACAGGGATCCTGGGGCCCACTGTGCTCGGATCAGGGACCTAAACTGCCTCAAGTGATCTCATTTTTCTTATTTCATTGTTTTACCCAAATTGACAGTACATTTTGCTTTTTCTCACCACTATGCAAATGACACTCTGAATTAACAGAACGACTTCATCACCTTTTCCTAGCTTGCTTTCACCTCAAAATGTCAAATATCCTTCACTAATCAGGTCTCAGCATTGCCCACCTGCAGTCTAGTCTCTGTAGTGTCATCAGGACATACATATTTATTTCTATCTGTGCCAACAGTTCATCCATTCTGTTACAAATGCAGCACACATTCAGATACAGAGCCCATAACTCTGTCTTTTTACCATGTTTGCAATTAGTGGTGTACTCTGTTTGTACTCTGTCAGAATCGTAGAATCCCTACAGTATGAAAATAGGCCATTCAGCCCATCAAATCCATACTGATCATCTGAAGAGCATCCCACTCAGACTGACGCCCCTACCGTATCCCTGTAACCCACCTAGCCTGCATATCCTTGAGCACAATGGGCAATTTAGCATAGCCAATGCAAGATTGGAATAGTTAGAGAAATGCAGAGGAGTCTTTCTAAAGTTAGTACCAATCAGTTCAGGGTCACTGCATTGTAAAGCAAGGCAAGTATTCAACCTGCACATCTTTGGACTGAGAGGGGAAACCGGAGGAAACCCATGCAGACACGAGACGAACATGCAAACTCCATGCAGATGCTCACCCAAGGGTGGAATTGAACCAGGGCCCGAGTGCTGTGAGGCAGCAGTGCCAACCACTGTGTCACCCCTGTTTCTCCCTGTCACATTCCCGTTATCATTACCAAAATCATTGCCCTGTTCATATGTCACTACATGCTACCGTATTTGTCATAAAGCACTTCAGACAAATTGTAAGCTCAAAAGTTAATTTATTATACATTTAGTATATAAATGATCAGAATACAGTTTTCAGCTATTTCCTATACTCTTGTCTATGCAAAATTTGCCTTTATATTGAATACTTCCCCTGCTTTACAGTGCAGTGACCCTGAACTGATTGGTACTAACTTTAGCAAGTGTCCTCTACATTTCTCTAACTAATCTATTCTTGCATTTGAGGGAGACGAAAATCTTGACCTCTGAGCCCCTTCTATAGAATACAGGTTTGCCAAATTTCCAATCAACATTTCCACTTTGAATAGCCCTAATGACATCCCTGCTCCTACATTAGGATGGAAAGGATTTGGCATTACTGCTATGAATTTCCCTGGAATATGTTAGTGAGAATCCCTGTTTATTTTCGGACTTCAACTTTTTTCAGATAGCAATTTTAAACAACATCTCCATTATAAACCTATTTTTCCAATATCTGAGATAGTAAGAACTGCCGATGCTGGAGTCTGAGATAACAAGGTGTAGAGCTGGAGAAACACAGCAAGCCAGGCAGCATCAGAGGAGCAGGAAAGCTGACATTTTGGGTCTGGACCCTTCTTCAGAAATAATTTCTGAAGAAGGGTCCAGACCCGAAACATCAGCTTTCCTCTCCTCTGATGCTGCCTGGCCTGCTGTGTTCCTCCAGCTCTACACCTTGTTATTTCCAATATCTGAGGCTGTTTTTGCTTATCAGATGACTATCTAATGGCTAACCTATTTCAATTCGAGATATATGATCAAAGTTCCCAAGCACTTTCATTTCAGCAGCTCCAAGACTATCAAGTCAGAAAAGTATACTTCAGTTCCGAGAAGAAAGCCTCAGTAATCTGGATCTAACTTTAAACAGACATGTATGTTAAGTGAAAAAAATGACACCGAGGGTATATTACACAGACAAATCCATTTATTTATACAGATTATTCAGTTCATTTCAATGATCTAGATGTCATTAGAGACAGATTGTAGATTCATTTAGTCTTCTAAGTGAGTGCTTCATTTATCACACCTTTATTTTGGTGATTTAGTTTCATATTTATTCTTTCTCTTGTGTAAAATAAGGAACTGTCATTCTCAACTGGTACACATGGGCATTTCTATGAATAACTTATCACATTTCTGCTGCAGTTTATAGATCGTATATTGGATGTTCCCACACTACTGCGTCATGCCTTCGCAGAACTGTTTTCAATCAGCGGCCTGTTCTGGATGTTCCGAATACGAATTTTCCTCTGTCTGGCTGGTGCCTTATTCTATTTAGCATCACCGCTGGACTTTATTCCTGAAGCATTTTTTGGAATTCTGGGTTTTCTGGATGACCTATTTGTTATTTTTCTACTCCTCATCTATATTTCTATCATGTATCGAGAAGCGGTAACACAAAGATTGAATAGATGAATTAATATTCCTAAAACAAGAGAAACCTGACTGAAATGAAGTTAAATGTGCACGGTTTCCTGGAAATTAAATTGTTACATCTTGCTGGCCTGGTCAGAAGCTTTTGCAAACTATGAACTTCAGCAAACTCCACATTAACAATAGCCAAGAAAAATGCAAATCTTAAATTTGCAGTTCCAGCATTTGTTTGTCAATTGATGCAATTCAAACTGAAATGAGTCAGGAAATGCTTGTCTCTTTTTATTGCATAACTTTTTAAAGAGTTAAAATTTGAATTATTGTAGATTGAGTAAGCTTCATTGAGTTGAAATCTATATGGTGTAATTGAGATGTTAAATTTGAAGACAGTCAGATATAGGATTTTGTAAATGCAAGTTTTGGTTGTTTAAATGAAAACTGCAACAATGGTAAATCATGAGGCTAGATTATGTGCTTTTGAGTTAGGTTTCTCTTGTTGATTTGCACTTCGTATAAAAATGTAGAGGAAAATTGAAAATGTCCATTGTGTGTGTACTTAGGAGTTTAAGGACCAGAGCCTATTGTAAATAGAATGCAGGGATTTTCTACCTGCATATTATCTATGCTAAAAACATTTATTTGATATTGGAAAGATTTTGAATTCCCAGTATATAACAAAATGTGAACAAATTATTCCTTTTCATTAAAAATCTTTGGATGCCTTGTTTGTAATGCCACTTGATCGGCACCCCATCCATCACTCACATTTCTTCTCCTACCTGCTCAGCCTGGTTAGAAGATGCATTGCAAAAACTTGCCAAAGCTCCTTTGATCTCTGTCATCTAGAAGGGCAAGGGCAACAAGTGCATGGAAACTCACCGCCTCTAAGTTCCCCTTCAAGTTGCACACCATTCTTATTTGGAAATGGATCACTCTTCCTTCTCTGTAGGTGGACCAAACTCCTGGAACATTCTACCTAACAACTCACAGAAGTTCCTTTAGCGTGCAGTCGGCAGCATTTCACAAAGACAGCTCACAACCTCCTCCTCAAGGCTCATTAGGAATGGATAACAACTTCTGGCCTTGCCACAAATGCTGAGAATGCATAAATATATTAAGTTAATTGATGATACTTCATTCATTTGCCTGATCACCATCTTCATAAGTTTAAAATCACTGAGGCACGTGGATGATTGCTGATTAACTTAACGCTGAAATATTTAAAATGGTGAGGTTGAAATGATTATGGAATTGAATAGAAAAGAAGTGGCAAAGTAGACTGGAATGCTTACATATTTTAGTCAGCCCATTGGGATAGACTCATTCTTTCACACTTCCCAATTTAAACTGGGTGCTATGGATCAGGTGTTTTTGCCCGGGGAACCAATTGAAGAAATATTGGAAGTAATTATAAAGCCCCTGGTGGTTTGTTTTGGTCAGCATTGTTCAAACTGAACTGTGTAGAATGCTTTGTGATTGAGAGAGCTACAGTTGTGTTTACTATCACTCTAAGAAAGAGCAAGAAATGTGCCAATGTTATCGACAACCATGAGCTACAACCATTTAAATGAAAATGTGATTTTGATGCCAGATGAATATGCGATTTAGCATTCCTGGGGGTGGGGCGGGAGGTGGGTGGGCTTCCAGGATTAAATAGTTTTCCATTCAGTTGTATTTAGGTGCTTACTTGGAGCTGGATTAGTCAAAAATGAATTCTATTACCCTGCTATCCTCTTTGTTTGAACTTTTTGCTTTCAAATGCAATAATCTCTAGCTCAATAAAGGTTTAAACTATTAACTGTTAAAGATGTTTGAATAAAGATAAAGGATAAAAATGGTTGTGCCTTAAGATATTTCTTTGATTTCATGTTTAAACATATTTGAATTAAAGGATTTTTGAGAAGATAAGATAAAAGTGCAGTTAATGCAAAACGCATTCATTTAAAATTGGGTACATAAAAATGCAGGGGGTAAATAGACAGGTCTGCATTTGTTCCTATTACATCAAGTTGGTGGAGCTCAAAATAAGAATCGGATTATGTGATTTTATCTATGCCATAGTTCAAATTCAGATAGATAATGGCAACACTTTTGGGTGCTCGTAACAAGTGCCGATGGCTTTAATAAAGTCAGTGCCGTGAAAAATGCTGAGATACAACTGTATAGAATTATCTTGCTTTCCATGGTTCTCCAGCAAAAATTAAGAGAATTTACATTTACAACAGGAGAAAGTAACTCGCTTTCTTCAGGTTTCAGATATTTTACTGCAGACAGACACACCACACCTCCCATTCTGGAGGTCTGAAGGCCTTTGCCAGAATCATTCACAGACACAAGCTATTCAGCGACCCAAGAGCCAATCATTTGCCATCAGGCTGATGGCCTTTGGCATCACTGTGGGCGGCACAGTGGCTCAGTGGTTGGCACTGCTGTCTCACAGCGCCAGGGACCCAGGTTCGATTCCACTCTCGGGTGACTGTCAGTGTTGAGTTTGCACATTCTCCCCATGTCTGCATGGGTTTCCTCCCACAGTCCAAAGATGTGCATGCTAGGTGGATTGGCTATGCTAAATTGCCCGTAGTGTTCAGGGATGTGTAGATTAGGTGGGTTATAGCGGGGTGGGTCTGGGTGGAATGCTTTGTGGTTCAGTGTGGACTGGTTGGGCCGAAGGGCCTGTTTCCACACTCTAGGGATTCTATGATTCTATCAGGAGAGATTATTGTTTCTTTATTACTATGTCGAACATAGACCCAGAGTTTTGAAGAGCCAATAATAATCTCAAAGTCTCCTTTTCAATGGGAGTGTATTTTCTTTGATACTGGTTTAAGTTTTGAGATGTACCCCACTGGCTTCACTATTCCCAACTTTTCACCCTGTAACAAAACTGCACCTACTCCCAAGTCACTGGCATCATTTGTCATTTTATAAGGTCTGGAAAATTGGGGATGGCCAACACTCATTTATTTATTAAGATTGCTTCTCAAAGGCTGCCTGGCATCCTGCAAACCATAATGCTTTAGCTTGTTTATTTAAATTTGTTAATGGTACTACTACTATGCTGAAATTACACAAAGTTTCAGTAAAACCCACATTGCTAAAAACCTCTATAGTTTTAGCAACAGGGAATACTATCACAGCCTTCAGTTTTCTTCTACTTGACAGCACTTGTTCTTGTCCTACAATATATTCTAGGTAAGTTACTCTTTCATTTGGAAATTCACTTTTGCTTAAACTTATTACTAAGTCAGTCAACTGTATTTGCTTAAACAGGTCTTCCAGTTATCTCACATGTTTTCTGGTGTACATTACAAAATTGTTCAAATAAACTACACTTACGTATTTCATCTACGGATTGATCTCTAAGATTTTGAAATGTAGCTGAGGTGATTTTTATCCCAAAATGTATAACTTGACATTGATATCACAGCAAAACAGCAATTTCTTTAGCCCTTGATGTTAATGGCATTTGCCAGTATCCTTTCAATCAATCAATCAATCCTATTTGGAATGAGGATACTGCCAACTCTATCAACATAGATCTTCTAACCATGAAATGTGATATGAATCTCTTTTTGAGATTGCATTTTCCTTTCTATAATTACACAAAATCTAATTGATTCATCCTCTTTGGGAATCAATATCACCAGTGAACACCAGCTACTTTGACTATGTTCAATGTTGTGATTTTCCAACATGTATCAAATCTCTACTTCCATTTGAGCTTCATTTTCTGGGTTCAGACAAGAAGGGTGCTATTTAATCAGTTTGGACTCTCCTATGTCCACGTATTATCTCGTGAATATAGTTTATCCAGGTGTACCTCTACAGATTACTTTATAGTTAAGTAACCACACAAGATCCTCCTATCATCCTTTCTCCAAATATGAGGACAGTATCTAACTATTCCAGTATTTTGGGGTTGGCTTATCAAGTTGTAGGAGGTTCGCTTTGAGAATTATCTTCCTCTCATTTCACTTCACTTTTTTTTGTCCCTGTCATCCAGTATTCTTACCACCTAATTGATTTGATCCTTATTATCCTTTTCTGTCTGATGAAACTGTTTTAGCATGTTTATGTGACATTTCCTGTTCCAACTACAGCATTTTAAGCCTATATTCATGTTGGTTCACTTTCTCTTTGCAATTTTAATTCTACTTTACTCATTACCATTTTGCTTTGTTTGTCTTCTTCTGCTCTTTGTAATTCTATCTTCCAACATTTACATTTTTTCTTCATATTCAAGCTTTAACCATAAAGCAATATTACTGTTCCGGTATGCCACTACCCAAAGTACCTGGTTTCCCTTGTATCTCTACTAAACACAAGTGTGCTGTGCTAGTACCTCAATTATTTCTCTTCCTAGCTCTGGCAAACAATGCTACCTCCAGTTTACCTGCCAATTCAATCGATCTTTATTTTGAAAGTTCACAAGACTCTCAGAGACAACTTTGTCACTTGCAGGAAATCCTTAGCAATTACCAGTGGCATTTCTGCTGTACAGAATCAGGCATTTTCATCAGGTGAATTATTTACGAATATGACACCCAGACTCTCATTTACTCTATTTCAAATCAACCAGAGACAAGCCTGCAACGTTTGTTATGTTTTGTCAGAGTGGCATGCTGGAAATCAAGCCCTGCTATTTCCACAGTCACCTGAAAAGTTAAAAACTTTAGCAAAGTTCCTAATTTACCTGGTAGATAGAGCCAGGTTAACAAAAAAAATGACCAGTTTCTTGTTCTTAACAAGAACAACTGTTTATGACAAATAAGTAGTTTCTAACCAGAGATAAACAACTATGACCTGTTAGCATTTAAACCTATTAGTTAAAACTCTGACCTCTTTCTAAACACCACCCCAGGCCCAAAATAAGCATATAGACACAGACAAACAAAATTGTTTTTATGGGTGGATGGAAAAGAACACCGGGAACCATAGTGCAAGAGCATAAGTCCACAGAGATTACTGAGACAATCCTTTTGCTGGCCAGGACTTTGTTCTTCAATCTCCTCTTCAGATTTTTTGCAAGAGGACAGGCAATTAGTATACTAACTGCAAAGTCTCTTATTTAGTACTCCCAACTACTGGGAGGAAAACATCTGGCAGGAAAAGGACTGGCTTTGTTCAGACTTAAGATATTTTACTGCAGAAAAACACAACACCTCTTCCATAGGTCCAAAGACTTCACATTGTTTACATCCACAAGCTGTTTAGCTACTCAGGAGCCAATCAGGCTGATGACCTTTGACATCCACCACTGATCACAACGCCACGAACCAATCGGCAATCTGTTACCAGCAAATTTCATTTTGTAATCAGTCCTGGTACCCCCGCTGCTTGAACAAACCGTGATTTACAATGATAACTTGCTTTTTATGAGTGTGACTACTTCCATTATCCTTAATTTTAAAACAGTCCTTTTTCTGTTTCAGTCTACGATCAAAAATATTGTACATAAAAATAAAAAAATACAGCCTTTACATAAGTCAGAGACTGACAGATTCTTGATTATGAAGGAAAGTGAGCATAGTGTGGGAGGTTGTAGCTGAGATAGAAAATCTGTCGTGTTCTTATTGAATGATAGAACAAGCATAAGGGGGCAAAATGGCCTAATCCTACTCCCAAACTGAGCATTGCATTTACATTATTTAAATTACATCATCTTTTAATTGCATCATGTTTTAGGATGTCTGTTTATCCTTGGGTCATATTTTAGCTTGTGTAATTTTTCAGGTTGCTCCGAATTTTAGATAGTATTACATTTCATATTAAGATGTAGAGTTTTCACCTTTGCCTCATTTTAATTCATGTTTCATCTAAATGTTTGAAATTTTATGTCACAACATTTTTACATCATTTTGGGATGGGTGTCTTTTCATGCCATGTATCATGTTTTAGGCTCCTTCACTAATAATTCATGTCCCACCTCAGGTCACTTTGCATTTCAAATCATGTTATCATTATATTATATAACATTTGTTCCTGTGTTACATTATGACCACTAGGTGCATTCACACCCTGCAGGCAGTGAACTATGAATACCCTTGTTAGCTTTCATTTGGTTTTTGAGTATTCTAATTTAAAAATAACCAGCAGCAAACAATGTATACACAAGGTCATTAACAAGATCAAAGGTTTAATTACATAATTATTACAGAAAGTTACTAAGTTTAAAATACATGGTAGCTATTGTTTAAAATACAGACACAAAGAGTAAAAGTAGTTATAGATAAAATGTGCTTACAAAGGTGAAAGTTATTGTTGCATACTTGTTACATATTTGTAAATTCTATTTCTGAAAGTGAAAGAATTAAAAATTTGAAATCGGAATTTAGTGGCTGCAATGGCTTCTGAAGTTGAATAGCTGGAAGTTTCTCCCACAAGTCTCAATGAAGAACACATTCTATATTTTCTTGCTTTCACACTGCAGGTTGTGGCCTCATTCGGTGAAGCAGACAGTAGCTGATTTGCCTTTTGCTCCTTTCCCCTCTTTCTGATGTCCTGTCAGAATTCTTGGTGCTTTCTTTGAATATATAGTTTTATACAGATCAAAGTTAAGATGGCTATAATAACTTTTGATGAAATACTGTTCCACAAAGTTAACTGTGTTAGAGTTCCCTAGCAGAGTCATTCTAGTTATCCATTTCTTTTCCCCTCAAAACCTTTTGAATTCAAGCAGTGAAAGAACAAGGTTAGGCATGAGACTTCTAATGACCCATCCTGCAAGTTGCTATGTCTATATTTAAAAAGTAAAATTAGCCTTCTTATAGTTTCAATCACAAAAGCTGTTTTAGGTCACACTACATTTCAAATACGTTCCTGTTACTTCGTATTTTA